TTTATTAACCAAGTTTTTCGCGTTTTTCTCGAATTGAAGTTTCGATTGAGTACGACTCATTGGGACCGCCGCCAAATCAAGTGCGTTCGGACTAGGACATTCAAACTGGCAGTTATCGTTCAAAAGATAATGATGGTGCGAAATATGTCTGGATTTTAAAGAAAATGCTTTGTCACAGAATTATATAATAGTCTGTTAAAGGTGCCAAGTATGAAATAATTTGGGGACAAAAAAACAAACCTGCATAGAAATCGGAATAATAGGTCTTTTGATTATCGGAGACGCATTTCAATGGACTTGATTACGAACAATGCATGACGTAAATTTCACCAGGAAATTCCGCAGTGTGCTCTCGCAATCGAGGACTTAGTCATTTTTACAAGATTCGCCATTTTTGATGTCACGTGATAATTATGTAAACAATGACCGTCCAGTTTGTGCGAACTTGTACCTCTATACCTAGTCTTTTGAAATATATAAGCTAAATTACTCTTCTGAACAAGACAACAGACAGAGAATGATTTATTCGAAAACGTCACAAAACCCTTCTCGCTACCTTAATTGTTCACGTGATTTTAATTTTGCTTATTTCGCTGACTGGAAATTGTGCTAAATTAAAACCCAGTGAATATGTAAAATTTAGCATAGAACACATTATCTAAATGATAAAACCGTGAATTTAAAACCCAGTGAATATGCCTGAAATGCTAAATCAGTGAAATTTATACCCAGTGAAAATTAGTCATTTTACAGTAAGTTAAAACATTAATGGTGTCACATGAGCTGTAGGAAAATTTGAACTTAATCCTTCAGTCTCAAAGTGATATATATCAGGAACCGAAAAGTACACAAGTGATCGGATTTAAAACAACTGGAGCCTCTACATTGGATTTAAATCAGGTTGTAAAATCAGATTTGCCAATTCTGCTGGATGGATAAACTTATTATGAATTACGGCGTATGAGTTTTTTTTCAGTGCGATAAACTAAAGTTCATTTTCATTTGAAAATAATTTTTTTATTCAAATCAGAGTAAGATATTATACCACGATCATGTGTACTAAAACTTTATTTTTTTAGGTAACACTAAAACATAATGTAGCAAGTATTCGTTGCGAGCATTATATATAAAAAAATGGCGTGCAATGAAACTCAAAAATAAACTTCAGATTAGTAAGTAATGAATATCAAATCGAAAGTGACATCATAATATGCAATACTTGTTGGCAAAATGCCAATATAAATGTTTCAGCAGACGAGGTTCAGTTTGGCTCAGTATATGGTGATTCAATGGACTTATACTATAACTACCCAGTTTCACGAGCCCCCATAATGAATGGAATAACCCTACTAGCAATCAAAAAACCTACAGTGAAAACAAAATTGACTGAACTGCAACTATGATATATGTAGTCATAACACATTTTATGATTTATTAATTTTTCCAAAAATATTTATTTCTGTTTTAAATTTTGAATTCTAGAACTATAAAAGCTTGAATGACATCACATCATAGTCTGAAAAAAAGTTATATTTTTTGTCAGCATGTGGGCCAATTTTTGACAATCTTTTTTTTACTTTTAATTTGCAATTGCATAGCATCGATATCCTTTGTTGATGATTTGCGAAACCTGCTCATCACATTTTCTTTATTTCATATGTCTTATTTATGATTAGACAATTTAAATAATTAAGCCTCATTTTATTAGCTTAAACAAAGATGGCGACTTTGACTGTTGCGCAGACCAGCGAGTACAAACTGAGACGTTACCTAGCTTTAATTAGGTACTGTAAAATACTTATTTTAGCTGGAATTAATTTTCGCTGAAAAGACATTTTGGGTGTTTTGTATGGAATTTATTTTCACTGATTTTTGACGAGCTCAATGTAAAATATAGGAAAAAAGGTATATTTATTTTCACTAAATCATTCCTTCGGCGAAAATTATTTCCAAGCAAAAATAAAGTATTTTACAGTTACAGCATTTTTTCACAGTATTTTTTAGGTAATTGGAACGTATCGACGGAGTCCCAGGCGGTAATTGCTGCAAGACGCGCCCAGGTCAAAACTCGTACTCGTGATTTCCATTAGAAGAGCGCATTGAATTGTGCGAATATCAATGTTTATCAACACAAATGTCGCACATGCGCAGCGCGAAGACTATCACCCTTCAACATGCTGTACTAAAACGCATTGACATTGTACACTCAGGCTGTTTTCCAATCAACAGGCGTGACTTGAACATCGTGGCTGAAATGTCGTCCTCACGTAAAATCGATGTGCGCCAATGATCAGTGAGTGAGGGAAGGCACATGAGATCAATATTAATCAATAGCTACTTACAACTTGCACACGGTGCCTTTCGTTTGGTCTTCCTCAAGAGTCTTCGAAACACACACATTATTTTCATTCGCCATTTTATCTAAGGTCGAAGGTCAAAGGGAATTCCACCGTCCACATTACAGCGCCCTCTGGTAAGCCTTTTGTTTTTAGTATGCTCATCTGAGATTGTACGCCTTCGACCACAAAGGAGGCCGGATGATGTCACGTGATAAGACTGGCCAATTATCACGACTGGAGGTGATACTTTTTCTGTTGTGCAGACCAGTAACCAGAGCGGCAGCACAGGAGCATGTTACGGCGCATATAGTTAATACAGTCACACATGAAAAACCCATTGTATATAATGAAAAATTATTATCATACTGGAATTATGAAACTCACTAAATTAAATGTCAATTTGTTATAAATGTTTTAATAACGTTACAATTTATACCAATAATTAATGTTGTTTTCTTATAATATTTGGGGATACCAGCCAACGATAGTGAATTGCGACTATTTTAAGTTGTCGATCAATTTTACTTCTCACTATTGATTTACATGAGAAGATATTATATCATATCTCAAAATGTCAAGTAATCGGTGATATATGGTGACAACATTGAATATTGTATGCTTCCAATAATTTGTAAAATACACGTTATACCTAAACGTTTTCTTTAATTTCTATGTTTTGTAATAAAATGAGAGTTTTGTTATAAAAATTGACACATTTTGTAAGAAAAATGTCTACGCGTTTAAGTTGTAATGCATTTATTGTTTATCTGTAATCTTCAGATACGTTGGTTTATAATCAAACAAGCGGTTTCCGGTCCCGTATCCGCGGAGCTCCGGGGTGCTACCACGTCCTCCGAGGAGCTCCGCCGGTTTCATAAATGGCTTTTAATAAGGTCAACCGGAAAGGTAGCTGCCCGGTGTTTGTCCGAGATTCTTGTTCTGTTAGATATTCCCAATTTGTATTTAGTGTCAGTGTGTCCAAGTCAACGAAAGCGTCTAAATTATATTCACGCAGTTTGATCTCGATGGTTTGACATAATGGTATTTTACTTAGGAAACTGTGTACCGCCGATCCATTGTTTTATCAAAGTTGTGTAGTCACATAGTTATAAATTACGGCGTTATATAATCCCATTGTTACTACAATTATTGCTGTGAATATTTTTAGAATGTAGACGTAATGATATTTTAATTTTAAAACAGTGTATCGCCGAACCATTGTTATATTATTGTTGCGCAAGACATTATAACGCATGTCATCCAATGTTCTAAGTCAACATGGAGACAGTATTATTACGTGAATTAGAGAAAGTCGCTGACACGTATTTGAACTTCAGACCCATAATTTGCAGGGACGCATAGTTCTGTTTTTACGACAAGGCACGAGTTTTTATTTCAGTGCGATCCACTATAATTCTTTTTTATTATTTGGAAATAATTGTTTATATTAAAGTCAGTGCCAGCTATAAGGCAAAGCAACATGACACAGCAAATATTTACCGCCTGCAATTTTGTGAAATCGAAACCTGGCTACAATGTCCTTAAATGTACAAACGTTTTTTATTCAGCAATTGGTGTTCTTTTAGGAGCTATACGATGGGTTATCAATTTGTTCGTCCGCTGGCGAAAACGGAGCTTCGCGGATACCGGACCGGAAACCGCCGGTTTGATCAGTTTGATTTTGATCACATGCCTAATTTGCACGACAGAGTTGACTTTTCAGAGCTCGGAAGTCAGAAGCCAAACTTTCAAGGAAATATTACAATTACTTTATGCATAGTGTCTGGATGCATATGTATCATTAGTTTGTCATTATATAAATATAATTATATAATACTGTTACTGTCGAGATTCAATACCCACACAATTTCTAAATGTTGCGTAAAATGGACGTTTACTTAGAGTTTCTTCAGAATTGAGAGCGTACCCACAGTTGTATTTGTGTGCAAGAATGTTTCGGACAAAACAAAGACACTGTTTATATTTCAACAAATATAATGTATTTTTGTAACATACAAAACTATATCCTGAAAACGTATAAATTATATCACATTACTGATGTTCAAACTGTAATCCATAAAAATCTTACGATGTAGTGACAAAACAATCGGAAGAAATTGCAACAACATATGCTTGGCTTGGCTCCTATAAATGATGAACAGAATCTTCTCAAATTTTCATGCTGTGTCATTTCTGCTTCATTTGCACAGATTTTTAGCGTTATTACTTTGGAAGGTGGAACTGCATCTGTTCATAGGGCATCTGAACTTATGTATAGAGAATGTGTTTAATTATTAGGCTAAATGTTTTTGGAACGTTTTTACAAACTCTATAGTAAACACGCTATTGCATACTTGAAATTTCTTGTAATGTAAACACTGAAATTAGTTTATATCTTCAATCCAACACAAAACAATTCAACCAGACCAATTTAAAAATAATTTCCAAACCATCTTCCCATCTCAGAACCCCGGAGCGTGTCAGTATTTACTAGTAGCAGCCATTCCAAAAACAAGTGCATCAATGACTACTACTGACGAAGTGAGAACGTCACCGGCATAAATCCTCAAGTTCTATGTAATTCAACATTCACTATTTAAATTCAACCATGCATAATACAGCACAGCTATTGATCGACCCTCGCATTACCCATGAGACTGGAAACAGTGTGGACCGTGATTGATACAATATCGACTTGTATTGGGCACATTAATTCACAGACCATTGGTGGGTCATGGTCTGGCACTAATGAAAACCAGAGCTTACCTGACAATGGAACAAAATACGCCCACGTTGTCGTCCGCGTGTCAGTTCGTCATAAGATCAATTCAAGTGAATAGTCCATTGGAAGCGCGATGACATGACTTCTCAGCAGCAACCATTTGGGCAGGGTCAATAGTCAATATAGTCAATGTCAATCTCGCTAGTGAGAGCAATTTTTGAAACTACTGAATCTCTGAACTTTTGGCTTCTGACTTCTGAAAAGTCAACTCAACCTAGTATGCACATAAAATTCACCCCAGAAATCAAACCTCAGAGATAAGGCTCAAGTCGGGAAATGTGTTTTTCACTTTCTATAATGTATACATAGGGTATGGTTGGGAGCTTGTATATTATATTCGGATAGTTTTGCCATCACACTGTTAACAATTTTTAATTTTGTTGTTTACGTCAGTGTTAAATCCACTTTAATTGTATCAACACAATACCGCCCTTTAATATTAATTAACAATGGTATGTATAGGGTGGCACAGGATTATTACAAAATAAGTTTACTAAACACTACTATTTCGTGATTGTTATCTTCTTATTCTCCAGGTTCTTCCTGCTTTTGATATCCCTCTGAAATTCTGGCAGGAGCTCTAGTGTATCAGTTTCGATTTACACTAACACACTAACACACATTTTAGTTTGTCAAGTGTATATTAAAATAGTCTCACCATTTTGTTATATTTGATCGCATACAACACTACCATGGATGAAACAGGAGCAATGTGCTCAGCACAGTAGTCCACCACCCTTATCTTTAATTCCATCACTCGCAACTGTCATGCAGTTGACCCATCACCAATTACTGTAATGTTTTTCACAGCTCTGACGCCTTTTTTTTAAGTTGGTATATCACCATTATATTAGCTATGGTTATAGCCGTCATTACATACGTGTTGTTGTGTG